GAGCGAGCTCTTAACCAACTGAGCCACTCGGCCCAATGATCTTGTTAAACATATATACACTACTTATGTATACACAATACTTACGTACATATGTATACAATACTTAACGTATTCGCAATTACCACTGTTTACTCATGTATTTCACAGCTGTCACTGACAATTCAAGTCAACAAACTTTTAAGTTAAGGAGTTTCTGTGTGCCTAGCACTATACTACTTTTCTGTAAGAAAAGTGAGGACAGTACATGTTTGTCCAATGGCTGTGATTGGGGTCAGTATTATTATAAATCAAAGTAATTCCTTGATAGAATGATACCGTCAGTGCCCTGGAGGGGAATGGCCTGATGTGTGATCCTCTTGCAGTGGCTGTATTTTTGGAATCTAAAGTGAGACAAATTGTCATGTCTGAATATACTAACTCACAGAACCTCAGGAAGATATTATTGGATGCAGGATATATGGTCAGGGCAGCCACGCTCCTAGCACGGAGCCAGGCACTGAGCGGCTAAGGAGAGTGTTTTTGGGAATTGATCCTGCTCTCTGGCCTGGTGCTATATGTTTCTGGAAGCTGGGCAAAGGGTGACGTCTTTGACCACAGGCGGGATCAAAATGAGCTGGAGCCTGTCGCGTGTGTGTGAATCTTCTAGGCCTTCCGAGGCACTGCTTTGTGGTCACGGCCTTGCCTCACCCAGACCCCATCCTGCTCTAAATCAGGGAAGTGCACCTAGCAGGGGGAAATCAAGTGAGTGAGCAGGATGTGACCCATGGTGAGGCAGCTGGTCCCTGAGTCAATGAGCTACTTCAGGCATCCAAAGGGAGTCCTTCTGCCCATTCACTACAGTGAACTTCTTCTGTCCTCTCTACTGCCCCTCCCTACCCAGGTGTGGGTCTTTGGGGGCAGGAAGCTAATCTCCCTCTCCTCTAAGCCACAAAGGGCCCTTTGGAGTAATGAAGGACCCTGGGGAGACCTGGCCTCAGCGTGCAGGCAGAGGAAGCTTCTCTTGGGATGTGGTGACGGCCCTGGTCTGGGGTGCCCAATCCTGTTACGGAACCCCTGGATCCAGGATTGGTGAGGGACAGGGGAGGATAGAGGGGGCTGGGCCTGACTGGGGAAGGCTGGCCTGGAAGGCGCTCAGCCATGGCCCTGGGCCAGGGTGGAAAGTATGTGTGTGAGCTCATTTGGAAGGTGGCTTTTGGCCAGTCAGGCCTGTATCCCTTCCAGGCCCTGGCTACCCAGCCCCCTTGCCGGCTGCCTCTAGGTCTCCCTCCTGCCTCTGGGTCCCCCACCTCAATCTTGTCTCCCAACACTGTCTGAGGAAGGAAGGCAGAAACCCCCAGAAACCCCCAGGCTCGGTGTGCAAGAATTGATCTCCTAAAGGAGGTGAATTCAGATTTGGGGGATGGGTAGGAAGGGGGTTCAGGGACTGCCGGACAATGGAGCAGCCTTGACTAGGGTTTCCTTGAGGCCTTAGGGAAAGCGAACCGCCCCTGAAGGCCTCCCCTCCCCCATAAGTCCTTTTCTGTGGCCACTCACCACCCCCATTCCTCCCCTAGCTGCTGCCATTGTCCTACTCAGTGCCTCTGGCATCTGAGTCCTGCTACCTCCTTCCTTCCTCCACAGTGCCTGTTCCTGTCCCCAAGAAGAGAAGTGACTACGGGCAAAGTGGATTCCTGAGGAAGAGCCCTTCTCGCTTTGCACCCCCAAACCTCATGCCGCAGGGCACAATAGGCAAGCACAAGTGTATGCTGACAGATCCCCAGAACACACAGTAGTACCATGCAGACAACCAGCTACATGGGGTCCACGTGGGAAGGGACACTCAAGAGACATGGTCAGAATCTGCCTGTACAGGGAAAAAGAAAAAAAAAAAAAGACAGACCTGAGTTTTAATTTTGGACTAACAAGCTGTGACCTTGAGCAAGTCTTAACTGGGCCTCAGTTACGGCATCTGTAAGATGGGGGCAGTGTTAGCGCCTGTGTCATTGGGTGTTGTGAGGACCCAGCAAATGTTGGTTTCTTTCCACCTCCCTTTAGCTGGAAAGGGAGATAGAGATACAGAAAGGAAAGAGAGGACTAACAAGTCCATCCGATTGTGGGGAGAAAGGGCCCTTGGGGAGACCCACTAAGGGCCAGCAAAACTGGCCAGATTATGTGTGTGGGGCGGTCACTCTGCTCAGTCCTCTCTCTTCTAGAGCTCCCAGCTTCACTTAGATCTTCACTTCCCATCCTGCTGACCCAGCGCCTGGCTGGCAGCCTTGGAGGCATGGGCCCAGCTGGTGGCAAGAGCCCTGAAGAAGGGAGGCAATGACAAGGGAGTCCATGGTTCCCCCCTCTAAACATGTGGGGTGCAGTGGTGGGCAGAGCGCTGCCTCTCCTCAGCACTTGCCCCCAGTCTAGTCTCCTCAGAGCCTGCTTCCCTGGGTTCTGCCCAAACCTCCTCGCAGATTCCCCTTGGCTCCCTCCTGGCTGCTCTAACTCACATGTGCTGCTTTCGAATAAAGGAACTTGGAACCATAGACACTGGGTCAGGCCCAATGGACAAAGGCGGGGGTAGGGCCAGTGAAAACGCATTTGCAGGTCTCTCAGGAGACATAGGGCCCTCTGCTCTCCCCTCACCCCAGCGTGACCCGGTGGTTCACTCAGCTGGGGCCTGGCAATCACCAAGTCACTTCCCAGAGTAGCCAGGCAGCTTCACTGGGCTGAATCACGCAGGCCCAGGGCAGCACGGGACCTGCAGCCTCCACCCCGAAATTCTCTCTGCCTGGGAAGCCTCTTCCACCCCTTCCCCCTTTGTCTCTGGTCCTCCATTCCCATCTCTCCCCCTTGGCTTCAGAGAGCATCTTGTGATTCCAGAATCAAGGCCAAACAATTTCCTCGTGATGGGGAAACCGCACTCCAGCCACGGGAGCCCTAGGCTCCCCCTCCTCTTCCCTCTGGCAGTCCCCCCTCCCCAGGCTCCTCCACTGGCTTCAGCTGTGTTTTGCAGAACTCCCACTGGATAACATCTGTAATTGCCTCCAGATGTGGGCCACAAAAACACAAAGGGGCCATGAGCTCATCTTTGAACAACATGCCACACGCCCAGGCCCCATCACCTCCAGACACCCCTGACTTTCCAGTGTGGGCTTCTCAGGGTCCCCATCCCCTCTGGTGAAGGTGGCAGGGAGGTGGTGTCCAACTCCACTGAGGCACACAGGCCATGCCAAACAGCTGTTGGCAGGAGAGGCCCAGGAGGCCGGGTGTAGGGTCAGGGTTTCTGGCTGGCAGGAAGGTAGGGTACCCCTTCTGCCAAAGCAATCACATCAAACAGCCCTGAATAGCAGCAGCTGGATAGGACTGGCCTAGGTGGGGCCAGGGCTCTTGGAGGCAGGCTGTGGAGGAGGCCTGGGCTGGAGCCCAGGGTGGGCTAGGCTGAGGCAGCAAAGGAAGGCGGGGAGGGAGAAAGACGGCTGCTCCCCTCCAGCTGAGCTGACTCAGCAACTGAGCGATTCCTCCCTCTCGGCTGGTTTAGGAGGAAGGGTGGGTCGACAGCCTGGGAACCCTGTCTGGGGAAGCAGTTTCTAAGAGGAAACAAAGCCTTGCTATTCTGCCCTTCCAACCTGACCATCCTGCTTCTCCTGGGCAATGGGGGTCAGATCCAGAGACCCCAAACAGGCTTAGACAGGCTGTTCCGAAATGGCCACGGGGCAACCTCTCTTTCCCCTCTTCCCTCTGCCCCAGCAATGGAGCCCCAGGCCTGGAAGAGGCTCAGATCCTGAGCGTTGGGGTGGAGGGCTTGCCACTGAGCCTGGGGCTGACTATGATCCTGGGAATCCCACAGCAGCAGGCAGAGACCTGAGGAAACTGAGGATCTGTGGCCAGATCACGGGACAGAGTAATACAGTTTAGGAAGATTTTCCAAGTGGCCTCAGCTTGACCACTTCCTCTTGTCTTTTGCAACCCTGAGTCTCAAAGGCAGCTTCTTAGTGGACCACCCTCCTGCCCGCATGGAGTATGCCCTCCTCCCAACTCTGGCCCCCAGATCCCTTCGTCCACCAAGAATAAACATATTCCTTTATGAAAAATACCCAAACCCCATCTCCGGGAAAAAGCACCGCTCATGAGCACTCTCCCCCTGCCTATTCCCCTTGTAGCCACATCCCATTCACCCTATGAGAGAACTGCAGCCACACAAAGAATGTGAAACACCATTTATTCTTTGTGGAAAGGTTGAACAAGGTCAAAAATGTCCTTAGAGGGCACTGACCCAGCCCCGCCCTGCAGGTTCCTGGGGTCGGATGCCTCTGCCCCCCACCCCCAACCCTCCCCATGCCCCTTGTTAACAAAAAGGAACGATTTGAAGGGAATTCATATATAATAATTATAATAAAAATATACATTAAACAAAACAAAAAACCCAAACAAGACAAATTTAGCCGAACTGCCAGCACCGTTCACCCTATTTTCTCCCACCCCCCATACCCCCCCACCCCTGACATCCCTCTCCTCTCACTCCCCCTGCAGGGTCTCTCACTCTCCCAAGTCCCCGGTACCATGACCACCTTTGGTGACCGAAGGAGACTTTAAATGGGTGGGCTGGGTGGTGGTGAGGGGGGCAGGACACTGCTAGGATGGGCTGAGGGGCAGGGACATCAGGAAGTGAGGGGCTAACCTGACTGAGAAACACCCAGGCACCTGCTCCCTCATGAGGCTAGCTGAAGCAGGCTGACTCAGCACTACTGGCCGCTGGGAGCCTCAGCTCCCTAACTAGGTGGCTACTCTCATTAAGGGCCAGTGGCCAGTCCCAGGATGTGCCATCTCTGCTCCTTTCTCTGGGTTCCTCACCCCCTTCATGCTGTCTGGTCAGACAGAAGACGCCAAGAGGAGCAGGTGTGCCTGTCTTGGGCCCTTCCTGAGAGTGCCAATAAAACGTGCCCTCCCCTGGGTACCACAGCCCACCCTGTGGCATCCCTGCTGCCTGGCCTGCTGGGCCCCCAGCTATCCACGCCTGCTGCACCTCCTTTTGGTCCCATCCTGTCTGTTTTCTCTGACTGCTCAACCCCAGCTGCCTGCTTTTGAGCAAGGTTCTTTCTCAGTGGCCTTCAGGCTCACCCCCAGGGCTCTGGATGGAATCTCTCCCCATTTGCCCCATCCCATGTCATTGGTAGCTGCACCCCCTGGTCTCTGCTCTTCCAATCTTGACTTTCCCACCCAAGGCTAATATTTGGGAAGGTAGGGCTGTCAAGGGCTGTCTGCGGCCTCAGTTTACTCCTTAATGGCTCAGGCTCCTTCCATGAAGTTCTTGGGGGCAGGTAGGGCAGAGGCAGATCTTTGTGAAGAGGACTGACCCTCTCTGAGCTTTCCTCCCAAGGTCCTAGGGTGGCTATACAGCCCCCACCCCCTCACACTCTCTCAGGGTCTCCCCCCACACGGTTAAATTCCTTTTAGCCAGAAAGAGTGGTGGGAGGCTTCCAATTGGGTACACCTGGGGGCTTGTGGGGGCTGGAGTGCCCAGAGCCTCCTGAGGTCAGAGTTCAGAGGTTAAAGGTATGTCAGGGAATGGAAAAAGAGCAGATGACCCCATTTGACCTTTACCAGCGAGGTCTGAGGGTCCTGCCTTCAAGTGCAGAGCCAAGACATTCAGATGGGGCTGGACACACACCAAGCTACAGGGGACCCTGAGGGGCAGGGACTGGAAGGGGTAGCCCCTGCTCAGCCCCCAGGGGACCCATCTAGGAAAGAAGCAATGCCAGGGTTGAGGGTGGGCGGGGCCAATCAGGGGACAGAGAAGGGAGGCGGGGGTGGGGAGGGGGCTCAGGGCAGGTGGGAGCAGCCCACCCACCACCATCTGCTGCCACTGGCCTTCAGAGGCAAAGTCCACGTGGTAGGAGTGGGCAGGCGGCGGTGGGGGTCAGACCTTGTCCAGCAGGGACCGCTGGCAATAGAGCAGTCGCTTGGGGGTCCCATGGCGTCTGAAGAAGAAGACCGCGAGGCCCACTGCCAGCACCAGAAGCAGCAGCAGCACAGGCAGCACCACAGCGGCTGCACTCACTGCCCCGCTGCCCTCCTCATCCACCTCGATGATGATCACCTCCGTCTCCTCCTCAGTCCCCTCATCTGGCCGGCCCCCTGACGGGCAGCCCATCCAGTCCCGCAAGGCTGACTTGGGGTAGCCCGGTTCTACCTTCAGCTTCTGGTTGTTGAATTTCCAGTATTTGTTCCCCTTGTAAAAGTACGTGAACACTGCAGGGGGCAGCAAGAAGGTGGCAAAGAAGACAGAGGTAGGGCAGTGTTCAGGAGGAGACCCAGAGAGAAGAGCAGGAAGAAAAATCTGTCAGTGTGTGGGCCAGTTGAGTTAATCTCTTAACCATTCTGAGCAGCAGTTTCCTCAGCTGTAAATGTGGTAATTCTGGTACCAGGTTGGAGGAATGGTGGGGACTAAGGGGTCTGACACATGGAAAGCACTTAGCCCAGTGCCTGGCACATGGCAAGGGCTCCACTGTTATTATCATGGTCCTATTTTCTCACGATCCTCTCCATCTTTCCTCCTCTACTCTCCTAACTCCCTGTTCACATCCTCCCCTCAGACACCTCCCTTGCCCCTCTCACCTTCATCGCTGCCCATGAATGACCCTCTGGGAGACTCAGGGATTCCTTCCCAGACCTTGATGTTTTTGGGGTACTCGCTGTCCACTACCCTGAGCTCCTCGTTGAAACGGTAGTACCTGGTGGAGAGGAGAGGGAGGGAAGTGGCTGGACACTGGGCATCTCCTTAGAGAGTAGCAGGACCTGGACTGAATTAACCAGTGAGCTAAGG